TGCTGTCCCGTCAATGGCGAGAAAAACAGTCCATTGTAAAATTGGTAATCCCTGGAAGAAACTCTGCTCAGAGAGTGAAATTGCGGGGAAGGCAAAATTGGTAAATGGATCTCATTGCCTCTGTCAGGGCACGAGATTGGGCTTTGCCCAGGTGATTAATGTATTGAACCGCTGAAGTATTGCCCATGAGGATTTGGAGGCTACCTCAATCGGACATGTCCTTCGTTAGTGAAACAGGGGGGGATAAAGGTTGCGCCAGAAATTATAAAGACGGATGTTTTATAATAAATATATATATATATATATATATATATACATACATACATACATACACATACACACACACACACACACATACATACATACATACATACATACAAACAAACAAATAAAAAGCAAAAGAAAGTTCAAAATATAAGTCCAAGTGTGAAAGCAAATTGTAAGACTTGCTGGAAGATAAAACCTCAAAGAGTCAGGGTAGTTCCTCTGGAATGGGGTCAGTTCAGAGTATTATTGGCAGCCATATATGCAACAGAAAGAGAGAACTAATGGTGCATAAAATCCCAGAATAACATAAAAGTAAATAAAATGTATATGGTCCTACTTACAATTGATAGAGCTTAACCTAGCTCTAGTCTGAATGGTGTACAGTGGTACAATCCCCACTTACAGGATACGTGAGATGGTGTAGGTAGGCAGATGTATCATCGGTATGAAGATCCTAAAAAATATATTCCAGGCTTACATACATAGGAGTCACCAATGAAGTCCCGTTCGCACCTCCTGTTATATCGGTACCCAGTCGTCATAGGTGTGTCCTTTTCCGCAGGTAATGGTCTTTCTGGAGTTACATTTCCCGGTAGTGTAGGGGTCTTGTGAAGATCGCCTGTATAGAAAAGGAAATGAATCCCACTACTCGGGCAAGGAGCCAAAGGGGAATCGAGTCTTGTAGAGTATACAATGAATCTCCTTGCGATTAAAGATCACTTTCGCAGTGGGAAGATTTAGGACACATTTCATTGAATCTATTTCGAACCCAAGGAATTGGATTACTCGGGATGGTGATAGAGCCGATTTTCTCTCAGTTCACTATAAAACCTAATGATTCTAGAAATAGGGAAATTAAAAATGAAAACTGGAACTAATCCAGAAGCCCAGAAGAGAGTAAGGGGCTGATGGATTAGTTCCAAAAAATGCCCACTTTCAGTCTCCCAGAAATAGGGGAATGACCCTCAAATTTATAAACAAAAAAGAAAAAAAATGTAAAAATGTGGACTTAGAAAAAGTCCTGGGTGGCAAAGTGACAAAAGTAGTGGAAAGAGGACCCTACCTTTATTAATACTAAGGACTACAAGGGACTATGATTACAACCATAAGTAACTAAGGGAGAAACAAAATACTAATGAAATCCCACAGCAGAAACACCTTAAAGGGAGACTCCAGGCACCCAGACCACTTCTGCCAATCTGGTCTGGGTGCCAACTCCCACTATCCTTAACCCTGCAAGTGTAATTATTGCAGCCACTAGAGGAGACTTCCGTGTTCATAGAACACAAAAAGTGTTTTAAAACGACGCTGGATGTCCTCACACTATGTATTGTATAATGCTTTCCTATGGGGAGGTGGGAGGGAGATGGGCACTAGAGGGTCCTGCAGTGCCAGAAAAACTAATATGTTTTCCTGGCACTGGAGAATCCATTTAAGTGTCAACTATCAGGCAAAATATAGCAACCACAATTAAGCACATCCTCTGTGTGGGTATCGAATCAGGTATAGCAGGAGGTAAGGGAATAGGGAGGAGGGTTGAGTATGCACTTATTTTGATATAGTTATTTTTATTTTTATTCAGGCTGGGAGATTGGTTCATGTAAGAACTAGTGGTTAGCCCACAGTGCTGAGGTACTATAGGGAAAGGTTCCTTGAGGTTTTTTGGTTTCTTGGGTTCAGCCCCTCCACCCTCCTCCCTTACCTCTCGCTATACCCCATTCTATACCCACGCCAAGGATGTGCTTAATTGTGGTTCCTATATTTTGGCTGATAGTTGACACTTAAGGTGTTTCTGCTGTGGGACCCAGTAGTTACAAGTCCTCCTCAGTAGTATTTTGTTTCTCCCTTAGAAAAATATTATAAAAACCATAAGTAACTAAGTCCACATTTTTTCTTTTTTGATTCTAGAAATAGAGCTATAAATCTTGTTTGAGAGAGTAGTCCGGATTTGGACTCACAGAGTATCAGCATGTCATCTAGATAGATAGGGTAACAATTGAATTGGCATGGTCTGTCCCACCTAATGAAACAAATGAATGGATGACCCTCTGATTGGAGCTGACAGGTATGCGTTTTTTTAAAATCCAGGTGAGTGAGCCAATCATTTGCGAGGAGGAGATCCCGTGCCATATGGATATCATGCATTTTTAAGTGACTATACCACTATGTGGTCTGTGCCCTGTGGATCAGAAATGGCTGGTGTCTAAGCCTGTCAACCAGCCTTGCCAAAAAACAACTTTGCCTTTTGGTGTAGGATTGCGGAAGACATGTTATGCTGACGTTTGCGCCTTGTTAAGGGTGGTGTATAAGTTTACATATTTTTTAGTTCTGCTATGAACAGTTCATTGAATGGGAGATCAGTAGCCAATATACCCAGTTCCTTTATCCCCAGCTCCAATAGCTTGGTTTCCATCTTGAGTAGGTCCACCTTGCGGTGTTTGGCGCAGATGGCCACATTTGTATTGCCCATCATGCATCTACATCATTGTGTCCCTACTCGTATGTCATTGGCATCCAATAGAGTGCCCTGGGAGAGTGTCAAGTCTGTATAAAACAGTATCTTAGCCCATGGGTCGAGCATGTCGAGTAGTTTATCCTGGGCTGTTTTAAGCCCATTTCTAATGCCCTTCCAGGGTTACCGCCCTGAGCTGGACATAGAGATCACCACAGTGGTGTTGAATTCTGGGATGTGTGTTATCTTGTCAGGGAGACGTGGGCGAGGGCATTCAGTCTGGAGGCGAGCATGCACCTCTTTTTCCATAGGTTTTGTAACCAAGAATGTATGAAGTGTGCGAGGTAGTCTGGCAGTCCCCATTCAGATGATCTCAGGTATCTGATCATGCGGGTGTCAAACATAGGTACACTGTGGGTGTTGAGGAATGTACCATCCTCCTCCTTGCTTGTGGATCTGTGGGGGTCTTACTTGTGAAAGAGGTTATCTTGAATATTTTCTCAGACATACAGGGAGACTGCATGTAGTATATACTGACACTCTCTGGGGGTGAATCATCTTCTCTCCATTCGTCCACTATCACTAGGGAGGGAGGAGGGTAAGAGTCATCTTCATCCGAAGATGGTAGTGGAGGGGGAACTAGGTCCCAAGGTTCCACTTGTCGGATCCGTTCCAGAGTGGCCTTGCCTTAGTTTTTCCAAAGGCCCGTGCTGGTGCCCTACTAGCGTCATTTGGATACCGGTGTTTGGTCTTTAGAGGCCTCAGACCCCATAACTTCCATGGCAAGTGGGACGTCAAGGCCCGTCATCTCTGGTGGACCCTGTACTAGCATCTCAGAGATGACTTTTAACCACCGAGGCTGCAATTGCAGAATTTATCTTAGACTGAAATACTTGAGTGGGAGGCTGAGGCGAGACACCCATGATGTGTGGTATTCGAACCTTCCAGTCTGTGGAAGATAGACTCGGTTGAGGTACAGAGGTACACGTGTTAAAACAGGCAGCAAGCCTCTGGGTACAACTGGGTTTCACCCAAGGTATCAGGCAATAAAAGCCCACTGGTTAGTGAGGCAGTATTGGCAGGCAGCCAGAAGAGGGGGTCACCCTTTGTGCGACCGGGATTAGCGGTCTATATGTAAATGGAGTTGTAGGCCCAAGAAATTGGGAGATGTGAGCAGTCTCAATACCATGTTAGGGATTTACCCTTGTTAAGCCCCAATAATGTGGGTACGGTACAATTGAGAGGGGCACCCTCTAGAGTATGCATTGTATCATGGAGGTGATGTGATCACCGTATGTTTTTCAACATGTAGTCTATATATGGTACCAATAAGGGGGGTCACACCTATTATAGTGCCTCCGTGGGTTCAGAACGCTTGGGGGGTCACCCCAGCTTAAAGGGGGTCACCCCTAGAGACCCGTTCACCACTACTAGGCGGATATATGTATCGCTTGGGGTTCATACCAGCATTAAGGGGGTCACCCCTATAATGATGTGCATAGCAATTAGTTGGCAACATATGTTAGTAGGTGCACAATCCGTCTGGAGGCTCACCCCAGGCAACATACCATATGCACTGTTATTTGGGACAGGAGAGTATAATATGTATGTGTGTATATATATATATATATATATATATATATATATATATACACACACACACACACACACATACATATATATATATACACACACACACACACACACACACACACTGCACTACCTACATACACTATATTCATGACATACAAACTCTGGATCCCCAATACACACACTACATTCCTTGTAAGCAAACACATACCACATTCTCTAAACACACACTTTCTACAGCCCCTTCACACACTACAGCCCCGTATGCACACAATCGCTACATCCCCAATACACACTATGCCCCTATACACACACACACACTCTCTACAGCCCCTAGCCCACATATTACACCACACACACAAATGAAATTGACCTATATGCACAATACCACACCACAATCAGCTCACTCTACACACACGCAATCCTACAAGCAGGCTCCAAACACATGCACCATACACTTGCCTGGCCACTTATGGAGACACCAGAGACAAGTTAAAAGCAGACACAGCGCAAGCATGTTATTACATTTGCTTGCGCTGTGCAGAACAAATAAAGGGCCTTTTTTTCATGCTAGAGCTCTTCAGCAGGGCTCTGTGCATTGAACCAACATGCTCACTTTGAGAGGGGGCGTGCTTGTCATTAAGGATGACAAAACACACCCTCCCTGACCCTGCCCCGTTTTCTGTTTTATGTATGTGTGTGTGTGTGTGTGTATATATGTATGTATGTATGTATGTGTGTGTATATATATATATATATATATATACACACACATACATACATACATATATACACACACACACACACACACACACACATACATACATACACACACACACACAGGGCTGGACTGGGAAAAAAAATTTGGCCCTTGCATTTTTCAATCACAGTGGCCAGAAAACGGGGCGGGGTCAAGGAGGGTGTGTTTTGTCATCCTTAATGACAAGCACGACAATTTGGCCCTTGCATTTTTCAATCACAGCAGCCAGAAAACGGGGCGGGGTCAAGGAGGGTGTGTTTTGTCATCCTTAATGACAAGCACGCCCCCTCTCAAAGTGAGCATGTTGGTTCAATGCACAGAGCCCTGCTGAAGAGCTCTAGCATGAAAAAAATGCCCTGTATTTGTTCTGCACAGCGCAAGCAAATGTAATAACATGCTTGCGCTGTGTCTGCTTTTAACTTGTCTCTGGTGTCTCCATAAGTGGCCAGGCAAGTGTATGGTGCATGTGTTTGGAGCCTGCTTGTGGGATTGCGTGTGTGTAGAGTGAGCTGATTGTGGTGTGGTATTGTGCATATAGGTCGATTTCATTTGTGTGTGTGGTGTAATATGTGGGCTAGGGGCTGTAAAGAGTGTGTGTGTGTATAGGGGCATAGTGTGTATTGGGGATGTAGCGATTGTGTGCATACGGGGCTGTAGTGTGTGAAGGGGCTGTAGAAAGTGTGTGTTTAGAGAATGTGGTATGTGTTTGCTTACAAGGAATGTAGTGTGTGCATTGAGGATCCAGAGTTTGTATGTCATGAATATAGTGTATGTAGGTAGTGCAGTGTGTTTAGGTGTGTGTGTGTGTGTGTGTGTGTGTGTGTAGGGGATCTAGTGTGTAAAAGACCCAGAGTGTGTATAGGAGATTGTGTATGTGTGTATAGAGGATTCAGAGTGTATATAGTGATCTAGTGTGTAGATTAGATGATCCAGAGCTGGGTAAGGGATCTAGCGTGTATCTGGAGTGTAATGTGTGTAGTGGTGCAGTGTGACATATTGTATGAGTGATGGGTGCAGTGTGTTGGGACTGCTGTATGTGTGAAGGGTGCAGCATGTGTATAAGAGGAGTGCTGTGTATGCGAGAGTGTTCTTAGCCATCACATTCTAGATTTCTAATTTTCTTTGTCTGTTAACTCACTGAGGGTTATTTTATATATTATACGTGTGTGTGTGTGTGAGTAACCACGGCAACGCTCAGACCTCGCGCGAGAGGAATCCGGCAGAGCTGCAGGGTAGAGTTCCACCGGGTCCTCCTCTCCCTCCCCAGCCAGTGGCAGCATGTCTGTGCCTGTGGGCCAGTGAGGGAGATCTTTGATCGGCCCACGAAGGCACACAGTAGGGCTGGCACGGGCCCTGCATGGGCTGGCCAGTGATCTCCCCTGCCGGCCTCGGCCCATGGCCATCGCAGCCCACCGGCATTTGCCCAGTATGCCCGATGGCTAGTCCGGGCCTAATGCATGGTCATCTAGGGTAAAAACCAACATGCACAGTCTTTTGGCTGCAATTCAATTCAGGCCCTTTATTTAAAAGTCCATTTAGGTGACAGCAACACAACACAAAATAGCACAACATAACAGATTTCCCTTTAAATCAAATCCTAGCTCGTCTGAGCACTAACATTGTTATTATTCCATATCTACCAAGGGTTCTAAACTAACAAAAACATAGGTTTCACCAACCGTGCTCCATGTTAACTTTTCCTGCCAGTGCTCAGTCACCTTGACTCTTGACCAGGGCCGGCCTTAGGCCATTAGACGCCCTATGCGACAAGGCTTCACGGCGCCCCCCCCCTCCCCGCCCTTCCCCCTCCCCACCATGTTGCCTGTATACAGTCACACACACAAACACAGACAGTCACACAAACAGTTACAAGCAGTCAGACACGCTCAGTTACAGGCAGACAGTCACACATGCTCAGTTACAGGCAGACAGTCACAGAGCCAAACACACAGTTAAAGGCAGACAGTCGCACACAGTTACAGGCACACAATCATAAACAGTTACACGCAGCAGATAGTCACACGTGCAGGGAGGCAGTCACACACACACACAGGCAAATAGTCACACACAGGCAGTCAATACAGTCACACACAGGTAGGCAGGCAGGCAGGCAGACAGTCTCTCTCACACACACACACACACACAGACAGACAGTCACACACAAAGGCAAGTAGTCACACAGACAGTCACACATACAGGCAGGCAGACAGACAGTCACACAGGCAGGCAGTCACACAGACAGACAGTCACACACAGGCATGCAATCACACACACACACACACACAGGCATGCAGACATACAGACAGACAGTCACACAGACAGTCACACAGACAGACAGTCTCTCTCTCACACACACACAGGCATGCAGACACACAGGCAGGCAGTCACACACACACACACACACATAGACTTACCTCTTTCCATTTTGGCTAGAAGGGGGAGTGGATTGCACTTGGTTGTTGTCCTTTCTTCTTCTTCCCTCTTGCTGTGCAGGGGCTTCGGGTATGTATTAGCCCCGCCTCCGCCTCGCGATAAGCCCGGCCTCCGTCGGTCATTAAGCCCCGCTCCCGCGATTTATTATTTTTTTTATAGATCCGGGTGGAGAATAATTAATCCTCCACCCGGGTACCTATTTTTGCTCCCCTGACTCCGGCCATGTGCGAGCTGTGTCGGCCACACGGCGCCCCCTGGTCCATGGCGCCCTGTGCGGCCGCACAGCTATAAGGCCGGCCCTGCTCTTAACTCTCTGCACTTCCAGTGCTCCAAATTCAGCCTTCTGCTTTCCAACTTTCTCACAGGAGAGAACAGCATCTCTCCTACCTGCTTCCAGGGAGGAAACCATCAATCCCCCCCTACTTGCCAAGCAGGGAGGATTTTTATTCCCACTGCTGTATCTGATTGCCTCCAGCTGAGCAATAGGTTGGAGACAGCCCGAATGCCTGGTCCCAAAACCCCAATAAACAGCGGAGTGGAGCACTGGCCCCCCCTCTCCAAATGCTCCACCCCCGGGGCCCATAACTAAACATAGGTTTTTTTTTGTTGTTGCACACAACACGTACTCCCTCTGGGGTTAAATGTTATATGCCTTTCTATAAATCTAGGGGAAATATAGATTCCTTCATGGATCTCACCCTTCACTTTATCACTATATATATATATATATATATATATATATATATATATATATACACACACACACACACACACACACATATACACATACACACACACACACACACGTGGGGGTTCACCCCTTAATAAGTTGGGGAGGCCACAGCCTGAGAACATTGCTATAATGCAGGTAAAGCACAACTTACTGATTAGATATATGGCACCATGTATACAGTACAATTATCAGAATAACAGGCTGAATAAAAGGCATGAATTCAAAAATATCTAAAAGGCTTGTTTGTGAACTTTTGAAAAGTACAGCTGCAGCAGTTGTAATGATCTTTTACCAACACAGTTCTATTCCACAGGAGAAAGCCTTACAACAACAATCTTTATTTAAAACGTATCAAAGGCTTATCTCAGAGGTACAGTGTAGTCCAGATCATGTAAATCACAATCTGGGTGCTGCAAGATGGCCGACGTAAATCCGTTTGCGTGGCCCACTGGTGGTAGTATGCAGGTACCCCACATTCTCTCCAACCCGCAGAACTTCCCAAGTACCCCCAGAACCCAGTGTGACAAACGGAAAACGTTGTGATCGCGGCAACGGCTGCGACGTGCGAGTGAGTAGGGAAATAGAGATAACAGTCAGTTGAGAGCCATGGGCTCAGACCAGGAGGGAAGGGTCTGGGGAAATACAATAAAAGTGTACCAAAATATGTAAAAGGGGAGGAAAAGCCAGGGGAGGAAGTAGAGGGGGTAATACAGTAGTAAAAGTAGAATAAATCCAAATTTCCATAAAAGAAACATACAGTAATGAGAATAGCACAAGAACAAAATACTCTGACCTGTGCCTTGGTTGGAGCAGCAAAGAAAGAGGAGGAGCTATGCCTGACATGGCTTTATATGAAATGTGTCACTTGTTTTGATTGGTTTAAGTTTTATGATTGACTTATGCTGCTGGAGGCATAAATAAAGAAAGTTATGAAAAATATAAAGCCTTCTGTCATGTTGTAAAATCAACAATAGAAAGGTCTGATAATCAAATCAGATTAACCCAGTGGTTCCCAAACTTTTTAGGTTCAAAGCACCCTTAATATTTCAATATTTTTGCCAAGGTGCCCCAAGTAAAAAAAAATTCTAGGTTGTATATATTGTGATCCTTGTCTGCAGGTAGCACGGTCCTCTAGAGTAAAAAACAGGCACAGTCCTTTGGTTTGCATATAATGCAGGCAGTTTTTATTTTTTATTTTATTTAACAAACAATAATGACACAAATCCCTATAAACAAAAAACCTAGCTCGTCTGAGCACTAACTAACTTCAGATTCCCTATCTCTCAGGGGTTAAACTATAACAAAATAATACAGGTTTCACCAACCTAGTGTCTTTGTTAGCTCTCAGCACTCCAGTGTTTAGTCAGCCTGCTGCTTCCAGCCCTTCAAGAGAGAAACAAACATTCTCTCTCTTTTCCGCTCTCCCAGTGCTCCAAGCCAGCCTTGACTGCTTTCCTTTTGCACTCCCAGTGCTCAGTCTCCTTGACTCTCTCACTGGAGAGAACAGCGTCTCTCCTACCTGCTTCCAGGGAGGAAGCCAGCAATCCCCCCCTTTTACCTGCATAACAGGGAGGGGTTTATTCCCACTGCTACAGCTGATTATCTGCAGCTGAGCAGTGGGTTGGAGACAGTTCCAAAAAACTCTTGCCTGGACCTGATTTCTCCCAGTTGTGTATAAACTGAGGAGTGGAGCATTGGCCCACCCTGCTCTCCAAATGCTCCACCCCAGGGGCCCATAACTAAACCTAGCTTTGTGTTGCACACCACACGTACAACATGTACTTCCCCTGGGGTTAAATGTTAAAGGCCTCTCTACCTTCACTTTATCAAAATATGTAGAGCGCTGCAGCATATACTGGGCTCCTGTTTGGCAGAAATGCTTACCGT